GGTCGACTTTACGTCTGGCGATCTGGCCTAAAGACCCAGTGGCCCTAAATTTTCGAAAACTGTGCCAACAGCCACGAGAGCCTTTCTTTCGTGCACTTTCCACTTTTACGGCTGGCTAGAGGAACGCACAATAGAGGTATCCCGCGAGGAACTGCCTGGAGTGATTCACGTTTGCCGTAGCGATCGCTACCGGTGTTCGTACGGGTTATAAACGCATAAATCCTCCCCTGTTTCACTCTCTCCCGTTCCATCGCGCGTTCACTTCTGCCGACGTGACCTGGATATTCCAAGGTCGCGTTCCGATGAACGATTTGTCTCTCGTCCTTTGGTACGATCCTTGACAGACATTTCGAAGCTTCTACTTGGAAACGAGAGATTTGTGCAGGATCTTGCGGTACAGTAAATTCTCCACAAGTGTCAGTCCGCAAGGAAGCTGAACCTGACACTTGTAGAGTCAGGGACTACGTTTTCGAGCCTCGCGCCCTAAAAGATGAGGATGAAAGGTGAGTCGAGGCAACCAAGCGATTTAAATACCAACTTTTTTAATTTTACGTTTTTTTATCCCAAAATTTTTCTTAACATATTGATGAGGTTCACTGTCACGCCAGATATTTCACTGTATTGAGATAAAACAGACGCCCTGCCCTGTATTACATTACATAGAGTCGGCCTACCGTTTGACTGCCAGTTGGAGAATTGGCCTGCCGTTTGACTGACACTTGTAGAATCGGCCCTACATTTATAAAAATTCGTTACAGTAAGGTAGTTATTGAAGCATAGAGGTAAATTGTGAAGGCGTCTACTAAAAAAAGATTCCTGAAGATTTATTACAAACCTAGTAACCTAAAGAAAAGAAAATTAATGTTAAAGTAACTAAAAAATTTGTTAAATATCTCCCTACTGTATACTCCTCAGAAAAACTACTTAACCCTTCCTAACCCTATTATGAATTGTCGAGCCGTGAAATCTGGTAAAAGAAACCGAGTGGCGTAGCGTTACACGCTTGACTGACAGCGAGCGAGATAAAATGGGCGCAGCAATGACGCAGACCTAGGCGTAGGACCATCTATACTGACACTTGTAGAATCCAAACTGA